TGTAGCCCAGAACTGTTTTCAGTTTACTCCTGTAGCCCAGAACTGTTTCACTTTACTCTTGTAGCCCAGAACTGTTTCACTTTACTCTTGTAGCCCAGAACTGTTTCACTTTACTCTTGTAGCCCAGAACTGTTTCACTTTACTCTTGTAGCCCAGAACTGTTTCAGTTTACTCCTGTAGCCCAGAACTGTTTCAGTTTACTCCTGTAGCCCAGAACTAACCTGCTGTATAAGTGGAACTCTCCTCTATATACTATTTATAATACACCGTTTGCATGTTATTACAGGAACCATGGCAGAAGGTGAAGGCGCAGACGACCTTCAGACGCTCATCCGAGCGGATGACCTCGAGGGCATCACTGAGGAGCCAGCCGCTAGCAGCAGCGGCAGCAGCACAGTAATCCATAACCCTCCATCCCTGCTGCAGGAGGTTCCTCCTGTCTGGCATCTTCCTTTCCAGTGCACGGCTCTTGTGCTGGCCACTGCTGCTCTCGTTATCCTCCTGCCTGTCTATCTTGAGGTGACCTCCAGTTTTTATGTTTGTTAGAGATGCATTAATAACCCACACATGGGAGAGAGCAGCTCATGACGATATTTCGGTTCAGCTTGAACCATTTACAAAGTCAAGCTGTGACTTTTTAAATGGTCCAAGTTGTCGTAAACTCTTCTCTCATGTGTGCAGGTTATCTGTGTATTGTTCCAGTCGCTGTATTTTTTTTTTTTATTGTTAGAGATGGAGCACAAAAGTTATTAAAGTCCACAGAAGGCAGAGAAAACTAATAAACGGTTAAGGTTATTGTAGTGTATTTTAATTACAATGGACCCCCGCATAACGATCACCTCCGAATGCGACCAATTATGTAAGTGTATTTATGTAAGTGCGGTTGTATGTGTATGTTTGGGGGTCTGAAATGGACTAATCTACTTCACAATATTCCTTATGGGAAAAAATTCGGTCAGTACTGTCACCTGAACATACTTCTGGAGTGAAAAAATATCGTTAACCGGGGGTCCACTGTACTTTGATATGGAAGTCCCCCCGTATCTATGGAGATAAGTTCCAAGACCTACCATGGATAGTAGCAAACGTCGTATATATATAAACCATTTTTCATTTACATACATATCTGTGATAAAGTTTAATCGCTAAATTATTCACAATAAGTCAAGAATTAGCACTGTGTCACTGATGGGAAGCACTTCACAGCTTCTCTCAGGTCTTGAAGACCTTCCTCCATGACTACAGTGGACCCCCGGTTAACGATATTTTTTCACTCCAGAAGTATGTTCAGGTGCCAGTACTGACCGAATTTGTTCCCTTAAGGAATATTGTGAAGTAGATTAGTCCATTTCAGACCCCCAAACATACACGTACAAACGCACTTACATAAATACACTTACATAATTGGTCGCATTTGGAGGTGATCGTTATGCGGGGGTCCACTGTACTTTTGCAATTTAGGGCCATTATTAAGGAAAATTAAGGGTTACTTTTGTACCACAGTAAACCGTGGATAACTGACACCGCAGAAACCGAATCCGCAGATATGGGGGTTCTAATGTACGTATATTGCTCATTACAGAATCTTTCCTCTGTAAGCCATGCATGTCATAAGAGGCGAATAAAATGCCAGATGCAAGGTGCTAGTAACCTGTTCTTCTGTTTAAATTACTAAATGTTAAAAGAAGAAAATCTTTATAGTTTTCTTTTCTTTCGGGTCACCCTGCCTCGGTGGGAGACGGCCAGAGTGTTAAAAAAAATCTTCTCGTTACTGTCTTCAGTACACATTATATTAAGTAAACATTGATAGCTATTCCTTGGATGTCATTAGAATAAAAATATATTTAAGAATATACAAAATGCAGGGAAGCCTTTACTGCTAAAATTTTTAACTCCAAAGGCTAATTAAAATTTGCCACTCTATAACCTATGTTTAGTTTTAGTCTGTAAACAGTATTAATCTGCCTAAAATGCCTGGGCATGCTAGTGGCTTTCTTTGTAATTAATACCTTCTTCTTCTTTCAACAAACAGGCCGTATCCCACCAAGGCAGTGTGGCCCAAAATGAAAAGCGAAAGTTTCTCTTTTGAATTTTAGTAATGTATACAGGAGAAGGGGTTAGTAAGTAAGTTTATTCAGGTATACACAAATACAGTTACATAGAATTATCATACATAGCAGTATATGTGTAGAGAACCTGGGATAACCCAAAAAAGTCAGACAGAGTGACTTATTTCCATTGGGGTCCTTTTACCCTATTATTATAATATAAAGGTTATAATATTTTCTTATTATTCTACAATGAAGATAACATTTTATTATCATGCTAAAAAGACTATCTACTACACGAGGGTCATTAAGACTATCTACAATACAAGGGTCATTACTAGGATTAAGGTAAAATTTACACTTATGTTAGCTAAAAAATAGAAAATCATTGCCCTCCCTTTCTGTAGCTACATTCATCAGACACCTTTTGGCACTCTTCTTGAACTGGTTCATGCTATGACTGGCTTTGACATGTGCGGGCAGTCTGTTCCATTCCTTTATTGCTGTACAATAAAAGGTGTTTGGAGCCTGGCCACTGACTGTGGGTACTACAAAGTTGTGCTCTCTCCCCCTAGTACTATGATTGTTGTCTCCCCCTAGTACTATGTTGTCTCCCCCTAGTACTATGATTGTTGTTTCCCCCTAGTACTATGATTGTTGTCTCCCCCTAGTACTATGATTGTTGTCTCCCCCTAGTACTATGATTGTTGTCTCCCCCTAGTACTATGATTGTTGTCTCCCCCTAGTACTATGATTGTTGTCTCCCCCTAGTACTATGATTGTTGTCTCCCCCTAGTACTATGATTGTTGTCTCCCCCTAGTACTATGATTGCTTTGGTCCCCAACCTTGACAAAATTGACAGCAAGATATTCTGGACACTGTTTGTGAGCAATTTTATAAGAAAGTGTTTGACCTGGTGACCGTCAGGGTCCCAGTGATGTGTCTCAGTGTGGTTGTGTGCAATTAATACATTATAATATTGTAAGGTTACATATTGTAACCTTACAAAGAAATCAAATTTGTCTTTGTATTGTATTTGTATTGTATTTGTATTGTATTTGTAAGGCATAGCGTACCAAATAACCCCTTCTCCAGTATAAATTACAGTCAACCCTCGACTAACGGCGGCATTAAGTAATGGCAGTTTCGTCTAACGGCACTTTTTGCCGTAGAAAAAATGCCTTAACCAACGGCGAAAAACTTAACCAATGACATCAGTGTGCCATTGTTTACAAGCTGTTGCGGTCAGTTTCCACATGTGCCTCCCATACATTTTGGATTATTCCACTGTTTCTAGTGCTTGCAATCACTAAATAAGCCACCGTGGACCCCACGAAAGCTTCTAGAGCCAGCCCTTTGGTAAAGGATGTCAGAAACACGATAGAATTCAAGAAAAAGTTTGTAGAAAAATACGAAAGTGGTGGTGGTAGAGGGTGGTAGTGATTGTGATGGTGGGGGAGGGTGGTAGTGATGGTGGTAGAGGGTGGTAGTGATAGTGGTAGTGATGGTGGTAGAGGGTGGTAGTGATGGTGGTAGAGGGTGGTAGTGATGGTGGTAGAGGGTGGTAGTGATGGGGGTAGAGGGTGGTAGTGATGGGGTAGTGGGTGGTAGCAATGGGGGTAGAGGGTGGTAGTGATGGTGGTAGAGGGTGGTAGTGATGGTGGTAGAGGGTGGTAGTGATGGGGGTAGAGGGTGGTAGTGATAGGGTAGAGGGTGGTGGTGATGGTGGTCCAGTGATTCTCAAGCTGGTCCTAGTGGCATTAAAAAACCAAGAAGGGAGGTAACCCCACCAAAGGACTTGGTACCTGAAGTCTTTATGGAAAGGGATTCTCCTTCCAAGCAATAGACAATCCTGAATCTCCCCTGCTGCTGGCACATCACTCATCAACAACGCCACAATAAAGGTAAGTGGCATTTAATTATTGTTTATTTTGCATGTCCCATTCCTTTCCTTATAAGGAAATGTATATTTCATGTAAAAAAAATTTTTTTTCAGACTTTGGGGTGTCAGGAACGGATTAATTCTTTCTTTCAACACACCGGCCGTATCCCACCGAGGCGGGGTGGCCCAAAAGGAAAACGAAAGTTTATCCTTTTACATTTAGTAATATATACAGGAGAAGGGGTTACTAGCCCCTTGCTCCTGGCATTTTAGTCGTCTCTTACAACACGCATGGCTTACGGAGGAAGAATTCTGTTCCACTTCCCCATGGCGAAAATTAACTCTACCAACGGCAATTTCGACCAAGGGTGAGCCCTCTGGAAAGGATTAATGCCGTTGGTTGAGGGTCCACTGTACTTGATTTAAAAAGGGTCGCCCTGCTTCAGTGGGATGCCCAATGTGGATGGTGAAACATCTACAAATAAAGATACCCAGATGTTACAAGTGTTTAATTCTTCATCTTGTCTGCCCTGCATTTAGTGTTCTTTTGCCACTTGTCAGCACTTGTCTTGCTTCTGCTGTACATAGAATGTACAAAGAATGTACTTACAAAGACACAATTGTAGTCCTCCAGTACAGGATATTACCAGCTTGAATGACTTCTTCCATCTCTGTGTAGTACTTTTTCTATTGATATCTACTACACAGTACCTCCACATCTGTATGTAGCTCTTTGTTTGCTATTAACCCGTAAACGGTCCAAACGTATATACAGTGGACCCCCGGTTAACGATATTTTTTCACTCCATAAGTATGTTCAGGTGCCAGTACTGACCGAATTTATTCCCATAAGGAATATTGTGAAGTAGATTAGTCCATTTCAGACCCCCAAACATACACGTACAAACGCACTTACATAAATACACTTACATAATTGGTCGCATTTGGAGGTAATCGTTATGCGGGGGTCCACTGTATACGTTTTTTCAACATTTGAAAATATGTAAAAAAAGTAGATCTTTTTGTTTTTTTACATTTGAAAATGTGTAAAAAAAACTTTGATCTACTTTTTTTTTATTATTTGAAAATATGTAAAAAAACGTAGATCTACTTTTGTAGCGCTACACATGTGAACGTAGATCTGCTTGGACCGTTTACGAGTTAATGTCTGCCACACAGTACCTCCACATCTACCTTCTCAACTATTCAAGAAATGGGACAAAATTTCAATTCTTTTAAATAATGATTTAAAGTGAAGAGCAGGTATTATATAGGAAAACCCTGGGGGATGTGATTAATAAACAGGGGAAATGTTGCTTTGATGGCTAGAATGAATTCTCTTGTTTATTTTGGAATTTTGGGGAATTGGAATTTGTTGAATTTTGTTTTTAGAGCTGGGATTTCGTGAATTTTGTGTACAATTGGCTAAATTACTGCTTTTAGAATTAGAATTTGTTGAATTTGTGTGAAATTAGCCGAACTGCTACATCTAGGTACTTCACACGGTTGTTCTGATGGTTGAATGGGCACTTTTTTCACACAAATTTAACAGGATAGAAGGCATACTAGCAAAGTAGCCTGGAATAGGAAACTAAAAGTGGCCTAAAATAGGCCTTAAAATTGGTAAAATTAGTTTTGTGCAGTGCTTCTCCTCCCCCATTTTCAGTTACGTACTTTCGTAAAGTTTACACCAAATTTTGTTTTTGATGCCATTACCTTTAGCAGAATTGGTTTGAGAATGTAGTGTTAGAGTGTTCAGCAGAAGTTTGTGGTTACAGGGACGTGGGTGCAGGAGGGAAGAAGAGCAATTGGTGGAATGATGATGTAAAGAGAGTAGTAGGAGAGAAAAAGTTAGCATATGAGAGGTTTTTACAAAGTAGAAGTGATGCAAGGAGGGAAGAGTATATGGAGAAAAGAGAAGAGAGTAGTGAAGGATAGTAAAAGAAGAGCAAATGATAGTGGGTAAGATACTATCAACAAATTTTGCCCAAAATAAGAAGTATTGGAGTGAGAATAATAAGTTCAGAAAGCCTAGGGAATGAATGGATTTGAGAGTTAAAATTAGGAGAGGAAAGTTATTAGATGGAGATTTCAAAGTATTGGGAAGATGGAGGGAATATTTTGAGGAACTGTTAAATGTTGATGAAGATAGGGAAGCTGATTTCGTACATTGGGCGGGGAGGTATAACATCTCGTAGGAGTGAGGAAGAGCCAGTTGTGAGTGTGGGAGAGGTGTGTGAGGCAGTGGGTAGAATGAAAGGGGGTAAAGCAGCTGGGATTGATGTGATAAAGACAGAAATGTTAAAAGCAGGTGGGGATATAGTTTTGGAGTGGTTGGTGCTTTTATTTAATAAATGTATGGAAGAGGGTAAAGTACCTAGGGATTGGCAGAGAGCATGCATAGTTCCTTTGTATAAAGGTGAATAGGACAAGAGTGTAAAAATTATAGGGGAATAAGGAGAGGATAGAGCTAAATAAAATGACTTTGAGAGTGTATAAATCTGTAGTGGAAGGAAGGCAAGGTAGAAGTTGGCCTAGGAAGGGTTGGAGGGAGTGGGTAAAGGAGGTTTTGTGTGCGAGGGGCTTGGACTTCCAGCAAGCATGTGTGAGTGTGTTCGATACGAGTGAGTGGAGATGAATGGTTTTTATGACTTGATGTGTGAGTAAGGTAACATTTATGAAGGGATTCAGGGGAAGTGGTTAGCCAGACTTGAGTCCTGGAGGTGGAAAGTAGAGTGACTACACTCTGAAGGAGGAGTGTTAATGTTACAATTTCTTAACTGTAATGTAAGCACACCTTTGGCAAGACAGTGATGGAATGAATGATGATGAAAGTTTTTCTTTTTCGGGCCACCCTGCCTTGGTGGGAAATGACCAATGTTTTAACAAATAAAATAAATATTACTATGTACTACTATTATTACTACAATGTCATTTCAGTGCATCAACGTTGTGGGAGATGCGTACTCAGCACTCATCTTCACCGCCATTTTCACCACACTGCCCATCGTACTCTTCGTACAGCTTCACTACAGTTACTTCTGCCAAATATCACGCCTGGGGCCCTCGTCTCCCTCGGCCATCCTCAAGACGGGCATGTTCCACGGCATGGCTGTACTGATGATCGTCTATGCCCTGGACAGGAAGCGTGTCATGTGTCATGCACAGGAGCCTTTAATGGGGCTTCTTGTTATGTATATGATTATTATATATTTCTTCTATAAGGGTCCAGGTGTGTACTTGCTGTAGCATGCTTGTTATGTATATGATCATTATATACATCTACAAGGGTCCAGGTGTGTACTTGCTGTAGCATGCTTGTTATGTATATGATCATTATATACATCTACAAGGGTCCAGGTGTGTACTTGCTGTAGCATGCTTGTTATGTATATGATCATTATATACATCTACAAGGGTCCAGGTGTGTACTTGCTGTAGCATGCTTGTTATGTATATGATCATTATATACATCTACAAGGGTCCAGGTGTGTACTTTAGCATGCTTGTCACGTGCAATGGAACCTTGGTACTCAAACTTAATTTGTTCCAGAAGGCTGTTCGAGTACCGAACAAATTTTTCACGACCAATTTTCTTTTTTTGTTGACTGTTATCACTAATCTTCTTAGAACCCCATGGTGACTTATTTATACATATAATATAAAAAACGCCAAAAAATGCAAGGAAACGCTAAATAGTTTACAGCGAAGTTTTGGTAGGTCATGTTTGTTTGGTAGTGCGCTGAGCAAACGGTTGACTGCAGAGCAATTTTTTTTACCGATCAAAGCATTCAAATACCGAATTGTTCAAGTATCAAGGTTCCACCGTATATGATCATTATACACTACTTCAAGGGTCCAGGTGTGTACTCTAGCATGCTTGTCATATATATGATCATTATATACTACTACAATGATCCAGGTGTGTACCTGCTTTAGCAAGCTCTCACACATCTGTTGCATGTTCATGTCAGAGCCTTTGATATATCTTTGATGAGTTATGCAAGTAAGCTTAGGCACAGGTACACGTAAGTACACTTATTATAGTGTACTACCAGGATAACACAAGTCTCATTACTACTACTATTTCTGTACTTCTTTTACTACTATTACTACTGCTGCTGCTACAACTATTACTACTGCTGCTGCTACAACTATTACTACTGCTGCTGCTACAACTATTACTACTGCTGCTACTACTGTTACTACTACTACTACAACTGTTACTACTATTACTACTACTGCTACTACTATTACTACTACTACTACTATTACTACTGCTGCTGCTACAACTATTACTACTGCTGCTGCTACAACTATTACTACTGCTGCTGCTACAACTACTACTACTGTTACTACTACTACTGTTACTACTACTGCTGCTGCTACTACTGTTACTACTATTACTACTACTACTACTGCTACTACTGTTACTACTACTGCTACTGCTACTACTGTTACTACTACTGCTACTACTGTTACTACTGCTACTGCTACTACTGTTACTACTACTACTGCTGCTACTACTGTTACTACTACTACTACTACTACTGCTGCTACTACTGTTACTACTACTGCTACTACTACTGCTGCTACTACTGTTACTACTACTACTATTACTACTACTGCTGCTACTATTACTACTACTACTGCTGCTGCTACTACTGTTACTACTACTACTGCTGCTACTACTGTTACTATTACTACTACTACTGCTCCTGCTACTACTGTTGCTACTGCTCCTGCTACTACTGTTACTACTACTACTACTGCTGCTACTACTGTTACTACTACTACTACTGCTGCTACTACTGTTACTACTACTACTGCTGCTACTACTGTTACTACTACTACTGCTGCTACTGCTGTTACTACTACTACTGCTACTACTGTTACTACTACTACTGCTACTAATGTTACTACTACTGTTACTACTACTGCTACTGCTGCTACTACTGTTACTACTACTACTGTTCTACTGTTACTACTACTACTACTGCTGCTACTATTGTTACTACTACTACTGTTACTACTACTACTACTGCTGCTACTACTACTACTACTGCTGCTACTACTGTTACTACTACTACTACTGCTGCTACTACTGTTACTACTACTACTGTTACTACTGCTGCAGCTACTGTTACTACTACTACTGCTGCTACTACTACTGCTACTACTGTTACTACTACTACTGCTACTACTGTTACTACTGCTGCTGCTACTGTTACTACTACTGCTGCTACTACTGTTACTACTACTACTGCTACTACTGTTACTACTACTACTACTGCTGCTACTACTGTTACTATTACTGTTGCTACTACTGTTACTACTACTACTGCTGCTACTACTGTTACTACTACTGCTACTACTATTACTGCTGCTACTATTACTACTACTGTTACTGCTGCTACTACTGTTACTACTACTACTACTGCTGCTACTACTGTTACTACTACTACTACTGCTGCTACTTCTGTTACTACTACTACTACTGCTGCTACTACTGTTACTACTACTACTGCTGCTACTACTGTTACTACTACTACTGCTGCTACTACTGTTACTACTACTACTACTGTTACTATTATTACTGCTGCTACTACTGTTACTACTACTACTGCTGCTACTACTGTTACTACTACTACTGCTGCTACTACTGTTACTACTACTACTACTACTGCTCCTACTACTGTTACTACTACAACTACTGCTGCTACTACTGTTACTACTACTACTACTACTACTGCTGCTGCTACTGTTACTACTACTGCTGCTACTACTGTTACTACTACTACTGCTGCTACTACTGTTACTACTACTACTGCTGCTACTACTGTTACTACTACTACTACTACTGCTGCTACTACTGTTACTACTACTACTGCTGCTACTACTGTTACTATTACTACTGCTGCTACTACTGTACTACTACTGTTACTACTACTGTTACTACTACTACTGCTGCTACTACTGTTACTACTACTACTACTACTGTTACTACTACTACTACTGCTGCTACTACTGTTACTGCTACTACTGTTGCTACTACTGTTACTATTACTACTGCTGCTACTGTTACTATTACTACTACTGCTACTACTGTTACTGCTGCTACTACTGCTGCTACTACTGTTACTACTACTACTGCTGCTACTACTGTTACTGCTACTACTACTGCTGCTACTACTGTTACTACTACCACTGCTGCTACTACTGTTACTACTACTACTGTTACTGCTACTACTACTGCTGCTACTACTGTACTACTGCTGTTTCTACTGTTACTACTAGTACTACTGCTGCTACTACTGTTACTACTACTACTACTGCTGCTACTAGTGTTACTACTACTACTACTGCTGCTACTACTGTTACTACTACTACTACTGCTGCTACTACTGTTACTACTACTACTACTGCTGCTACTACTGTTACTACTACTACTACTGCTGCTACTACTGTTACTACTACTGCTGCTACTGTTCTACTACTGCTGCTACTACTGTTCTACTACTATTACTACTATTACTACTACTATTACTACTACTATTGCTACTAGTTAGTAAGTTTATTTAGGCACATAAGTACAGTTATTTATTCATGGGGAGGTGGAACGGAATTCTTCCTCCGTAAGCCATGCGTGTCATAAGAGGCAACTAAAATGCCGGGAGCAAGGGGCTAGTAACCCCTTCTCCTGTATATATTACTAAATTTAAAAGGAGAAACTTTCGTTTTTTCTTTTGGGCCACCCCACCTCAGTGGGATACGGCTGGTACGTTGAAAGAAGCACAGTTATCATACATCGTGTAAATTACCCACCAAAATGACTCAAGCCGGATTACTATTATTATTACTACTACTATTATTGCTGCTGTTGGTAGTATTACTAGCCTGTAGTTTACCTGGAGAAAGTTCCGGGGGTCCATGTCCCCGTGGCCCGCTCTGTGACCAGGCCTCATGGTGGATCAGTGCCTGATCAACCAGGTACATGTACCAGCCTGGCTGGTCAGGTACCGACTTAGTGCTTGTCCAGTGCCTGGTTGAAGACTGCCAGGGGTCTATTGGTAATCCCCCTTATGTATGCTGGGAGGCAGTTGAACAGTCTTGGGCCCCTGACACTTATTGTATTGTCTCTTAACGTGCTAGTGACACCCCTGCTTTTCATTGGGGGATGTTGCATCATCTGCCAAGTCTTTTGCTTTCGTTGTGAGTGATCTTCGTGTGCAAGTTCGGTACTAGTCCCTCTAGGATTTTCCAGGTGTATATAATCATGTATCTCTCTCTCCTGCGTTCCAGGGAATACAGGTTTAGGAACCTCAAGCGCTCCCAGTAATTGAGGTGTTTTATCTTCGTTATGCGCCCCGTGAAGGTTCTCTGTACATTTTCTAGTTCAGCAATTTCACCTGCCTTGAAAGGTGCTGTTAGTGTGCAGCAATATTCCAGCCTAGATAGAACAAGTGACCTGAAGAGTGTCATCATGGGCTTGGCATCCCTAGTTTTGAAGGTTCTCATTATCCATCCTGTCATTTTTCTAGCAGATGCGATTGATACAATGTTATGGTCCTTGAAGGTGAGATCCTCCGACATGATCACTCCCAGGTCTTTGACGTTGGTTTTTCGCTCTATTGTGTGGTTGGAATTTGTTTTATACTCTGATGAAGTTTTAATTTCCTCGCATTTACCATATCAGAGTACAGTGGACCCTCGACCAGCGATGGCATCGATTAACGATAAATCTGACTAGTGATACATTTTATCGCAAAAATTTTGCCTCGATTAGCGCTAAAAAACTTGACCAACACTATTCCTTCTGTCTGAGACGCGTCCACTTCTGGCCAGTGTTTACAAGCCAGCCAGCCACTGCGGTCGCTTCCAAGCATACAATCGGAACATTTCATATTATCACAGCCTTTTTAGTGATTGCACCTGCAAAATAAGTCACCATGGGCCCCAAGAAAGCTTCTAGTGCCAACCCTACAGCAAAAAGGGTGAGAATTACTATGGATATGAAGAAAGAGATCATTGCTAAGTATGAAAGTGGAGTGCGTGTCTCCGAGCTGGCCAGGCTGTACACAAAACCCCAATCAACCATCGCTACTATTGTGGCCAAGAAAACGGCAATCAAGGAAGCTGTTCTTGCCAAAGGTGCAACTATGTTTTCGAAACTGAGATTGCAAGTGATAGAAGATGTTGAGAGACTGTTATTGGTATGGATAAACGAAAAACAGATAGCAGGAGATAGCATCTCTCAAGCGATCATATGTGAAAAGGCTAGGAAGTTTCATGACGATTTAATTAGAAAAATGCCAGCAACTAGTGGTGATGTGAGTGAATTTAAGGCCAGCAAAGGTTGGTTTGAGAGATTTAAGAATCGTAGTGGCATACATAGTGTGATAAGGCATGGTGAGGCTGCCAGTTTGGACCAAAAAGCAGCTGAAAAATATGTGCAGGAATTCAAGGAGTACATAGACAGTGAAGGACTGAAACCTGAACAAGTGTTTAATGGTGACACTGACAATGTTGTGAAACACTTTAGGAATGTCATAAAGGAACGGGAGGTACAGGCCTCTATGGGCAGATATGTTGTGCGACAGAGGTCCAGTGACTCTCAAGCTGGTCCTAGTGGCATTAAAAGAAGAAGGGAAGTAACCCGGAAAAAGGACTTGCCACCTCAAGTCCTAATGGAAGGGGATTCCCCTTCTAAACACTAAGACCATCAACACACACCCCTCTTCCCATCCCATCAATCATCACCAGATCTTCAATAAAGGTAAGTGTCATGTAACTGTGCATGTCTTCTTCAGTTTGTGTGTATTAAAATTAATATTTCATGTGTTAAAAATTTTTTTTTCAATACTTTTGGGTGTCTTGCACGGATTAATTTGATTTCCATTATTTCTTATGGGGAAAATTAACTTGACTAACGATTATTCTGACTAACGATGAGCTCTCAGGAACAGATTAATAGCGTTAGTCGAGGGTCCACTGTAATTGAAATTTCTCATCGTTAAACTTCATATTGTTTTCTGCAGCCCATTGAAAGATTTGGTTGATGTCCGCCCGGAGCCTTGCAGTATCTTCAGTGGAAGATACTGTCATGCAGATTCGGGTGTCATCTGCAAGGGAAGACATGGCACTGTGGCTTATATCCCTGTCTGTCTGATATGAGGATGAGGAACAAGATGGGAGCAAGTACTGTGCCTTGCGGAACAGAGCTTTTCACCGTAGCTGCCTCGGACTTTACTCTGTTGACTACTACTCTGTGTTCTGTTTGTGAGGAAATTATAGATCCATCTACCAACTTTTCCTGTTATTCCTTTGGCACGCATTTTGTGCGCTATTACGCCATGGTCACATTTGTTGAAGGCTTTTGCAAAGTCTGTATATATTACATCTGCATTCTTTTTGTCTTCTAGTGCATTTAGGACCTTGTCGTAGTGGTCCAATAGTTGAGACAGACAGGAGCGACCTGTTCTAAACCCATGTTGCCCTGGGTTGTGTAACTGATGGGTTTCTAGATGGGTGGTGATCTTGCTTCTTAGGACCCTTTCAAAGATTTTTATGATATGGGATGTTAGTGCTATTGGTCTGTAGTTCTTTGCTGTTGCTTTACTGCCCCCTTTGTGGAGTGGGGCTATGTCTGTTGTTTTTAGTAAATATATTTAGGTACAGGTACAGTATTTATGCCAGAGGATTATTATTATACATGTACAGTGGACCCCCGGTTAACGATATTTTTTCACTCCAGAAGTATGTTCAGGTGCCAGTACTGACCGAATTTGTTCCCATAAGGAATATTGTGAAGTAGATTAGTCCATTTCAGACCCCCAAACATACACGTACAAACGCACTTACATAAATACACTTACATAATTGGTCGCATTCGGAGGTGATCGTTATGCGGGGGTCCACTGTACATAGTTCATGTTAAGCACTAAACCCATATGAGGTCATTCAGCGCAAGACATGCTGAAGGCTCAGTCCTCCGTCTGTCGAGTGCCAGACAAACGTACTTCCTATTTGTATTCACCTAGATGTCGTTATACTGAAGGAGAGGCAGGGAAGCTGTAAGTCAGACCGTCACTTTAATTGTGATCTTCGTACAGTTTTTTTCAACAAACCGGCCGTATCCCACGTGGGCAGGATGACCTAAAAAGAAAAACGAAAGTTTTTCTTTTTAAGTTTAGTAATGTATACAGGAGAAGGGCTCTGATATAGGTCTGAAATTTCAGGTTGTAATGAAGATGCAGACCTAGAAATTTTCCCTCCCTCTCTTGTAGTGAGGGAACCATTGATTAATATATAAAGTTGGATATTGAAAGCTCTGCTTCCAAACATCATGAAGTAGGTTTTGTCTATATTGAGACAGAATTTGTTGGTTGTCATCCACGTAGATATATTTAGTAGCTTGTCGTTAACATTTTTTTTTTTTTTATTATCACACCGGCCGATTCCCACCAAGGCAGGGTGGCCCGAAAAAGAAAAACTTTCACCATCATTCACTCCATCACTGTCTTGCCAGAAGGGTGCTTTACACTACAGTTTTTAAACTGCAACATTAACACCCCTCCTTCAGAGTGCAGGCACTGTACTTCCCATCTCCAGGACTCAAGTCCGGCCTGCCGGTTTCCCTGAATCCCTTCATAAATGTTACTTTGCTCACACTCCAACAGCACGTCAAGTATTAAAAACCATTTGTCTCCATTCACTCCTATCAAACACGCTCACGCATGCCTGCTGGAAGTCCAAGCCCCTCGCACACAAAACCTCCTTTACCCCCTCCCTCCAACCCTTCGTTAACATCTCTGAGCATAATCACGTTTGAGTGGGAGAAGACTGTAAATAGAGCTGGTTTAAGGAGATGAGATGCATTAGGGAGATCATTGATGTAAACAGTATACAAATAATGCAGTTTACATGTAATAAAATATTGTTTGGCACTAAATAAAGCCACTAGCATTCTGTGCATTTCAGGCAGACTGAAACTAATGCTTAGACTACGAACTAGACATAGACTATTTAGTAGGAGTTCTTAAGTGTACAAAAAAGTGAAGAAGCTTAATAAACAACACAATTGTAAAAGTATTCATTAATATTGCAGTGAGATGTCTTTAGCTGTTTACTATAGAATGAGCAATTGTGAATGTTTCTTGTTTACGTCGCTCTAGCTTGATTGTGCAATGGTCGCCATTAATAAAGTTACGAGTGGTTAAGAGAAATAAAACTTATTCATTGTTTTTGCTTTTAATTTTTATTAGCACGGGATGTTTCCCACCGAGGCAAAGTGACCCGAAAAGGAAGAAACGCTTTCATAATCACTCGCCCCATGACTGTCTTGCCAGAGGTATGCTGACACTACGGTTAAAAATTTTACTTTCAGAACTGAGCTCACCGAAGATGTTCTCGCTATGTGGGGTTTTGGGCGGGTTGTTCCTAGCGATGGACTACCAGTTGAACAACCTCTATCTGTGTCATGGCAAGAATCGACTGAGCCCTGAGGACGATGGCGGAGAGTGGAGCTCCCAAGCTCACGCACTCTGGACTATAGTGTATGCTGCAGCTCTATTTCTCTTCACTCTGGCCTGGCTGTTACTGGAGAAGCAAGTTTTAACCAAAAAAGTGAGCCTTTATCTCTCTTAGCAAGTGACTTTATGGTTTGATGTGGTGTTGGAGTGTCTGCAAGGTAACGTTTATGAAGGGAGTTGGAGGAATTGGTTAGCCAGACTTGAGTCCTGGAGGTGAGAGGTACAGTACCTGTATTCTGAAGGAGGGGGTGAGGATGTTATAGTTCTGGAAATGGGAATTACAGTACCTGCACTCTGAAGGATGAATGAGGCTGTTACAGTTCTGGTGATGGGAACCCCTTCAGTAATGTTACCTCGCTCACACTTCAACAGTACGATAAGTCATAAAAACCACTTGCCTCCACTCACTTCTATCTAACACACACATGCTGGATGTCCAGGCTCCTCACATGAAAAACCTCTTTTACCCCTATCCCTCCAACCTTTCCTAGGATGACCCTTATCCAAATTATGGTACCTAACAATTTGCACTCTCCCCACCCATCCTTCACACTGGAAGTACAATACTTCCCACCTTGTAGTGGAATGCACAGGGACCACAGCAAGACCCTGATAACCACCACAATACAAATGAATTAGATAGGCATCTTTGAGGTCCTCAGATGGGTTATCTTTGAATTAAGACCCATGTCAGGATGCAGTTCCTGGTGTATCAGTCACAAACTTCGTACTCGGAGCATTTTAGTTCTTCATAATTTTTGTTTTCACTAATGCATCAGCTGTCTCCCACCAAGGCAGGGTGACCCAAAACAAGAAACACTTTAACCATCATTCACACAATCATTGTCTTTGTAGAGGTGCCCAGATTTGACCGTCTAGTTGTTACTCCAAACAGCCAATATCCCAAACCTCTCCTTTAAAGTGCAGGCATTGTACTTCCCACATCCAAGAATCAAGTCTGGCTAACTGGTTTCCCTGAATCCCTTCCCAGAATATTACCTTGCTCACACTCCAACAGGTCATCAAGTCCCAAAAACCATTCATCTCCATTCACTCCTATCTAACACGCTCACACCACTTGTCTCCATTCACATGTTTTATCTCATTTGCAGCCTGGCACAGGAGGGCTGAGTTTAGTGAGTACCGTGTCAGGAGGCATGGCAGTTCCTGGCAGCGATGGCGAGGCACTCATAACCAATCACGGTGGGAGACTAACAGCGACCATTCCCATCCAGAGCTCATGTAATGCCAAATGGGGCATCCACCTGGTGTGGTTCACTCTGGCATCCCTCGCCACCATCATGATGCTCTTCTGGACGGACTTCTTCACCGCTCTAGGCAAGGTAAGGTCAATCTATATTTTTTAAATAATGGCCATCTCCCACCAAGTCACGGTGACCTAAAACAGACAAAACTTGGATTCTTTTTACATTTAGTAATGTATACAGGAGAAGGTGTTACTAGCCCCTTTCTCCCGGCATTTTAGTCTCCTCTTATGACACACATGGATTATGGAGAAAGAATTCTTCTCCACTTCCCTCTGGAGAAAGATCTATCTACATGTTAGGTAAAAAGGACATGCAAGCAGCTAATACCGCATTTATTTGCAAAAATGTTTCACTCTGGGAGCTTTGTGAAGGCTATACAAACAATACAAGGACACAGAGGATATATGTACGTAACCACGAGGTGTAAGGTAACAGCACCAGGTATAAGGTAACAGCACCAGGTGTAATGTAACAGCACCAGGTGTAACAGCATAAGCATTGTTATCTCTATATATCCTCTATGTTCTTGTATTGTTTATGTTGGCTTGACAAAGTTCCTGGAGAGGAAATCATTGCAGTAATAAAATGCCACATTAATAGCACATGTCCGTTTACCTATTTTTCTTTTAACACACCAGTCTTGTCACATCGAGGCACGGTTACCCAGAACAGGAGGAAACACCTTCACTGTCACTGTCTTGCCAGAGGCGCGCTGATATGACAGTTCAGATGTCCCTGGTAACTCCAGATATCTCCACATCTTCAGAGTACAGGCACTGTACTTCCCACTTCCAGGACTTGAGTCCAGCTAACCATTTTCCTGAATCCCTTCATAAATGTTACTAAGCTCATACTCCAACAGTACGTCAAGTCATAGAAACCACTAATATCTTTTCTGATAGAACCTGCTTAAATGAACCTGTTGGGTGTTGCAATTTTCTATACAAGAACACAAGAATGAAGGAACACTGCAGAAGGCCTACTGACCCATACAAGGCAGGTCCTTATCAAAACGACCTCTACCCAAAGCTACCCAAGAATTTACTCCCGCACCCAGTGACACCAATCAAACCCAGCCCCTCCCACAGATACAGGGGGATGACTGTATTGTTAAATGTTGAGTATACATCCTCTCCTCACATAGTAACGTACTCATTTACCGATGACTCGGACTTACGATGGGCTCTCTGACCAGTATGCATACTTAAATAATGTATGTTAGAGTTGATTTCCTCTATTCTGTTTATTACAATATACAGCACACTGCTGTATAAACATTTAAAAATATACCAGAAATGTTATAAAAGGTGCAAAAGTGACATTAAAACAATATCAAAGATGGTTGATACAAACCCACTACCATTATAGTATGCTCCTCACGTAGCGACAAATTCATTTGCCATCATGGTCTTAGGAACGGAACTCCATTGTTAGGTGAGAATAGGTTGTATATATGTGTAGTGCAAGGAAGACTGGGTGGGGTCGTCCTAGGAAAGGTTAGAGGGAGGAGGTAAAGGAGGGTTTTTGTATACAAGGGGCTTGGACTTTCAGCAAGCCTGAGTAAGCATGTTAGATAGGAGTGAGTGGAAACAAATGGTTTTTATGACTTGACGTGCTGTTGGAGTGTCAAGGGATTCAGGAGAAACCAGTTAACTGGACTTGATTCCTGGAAGTGTGAAGTACAGTACCTGCACTCTGAAGGATGGAGATATCCGGAATTTGGAGCAACGTCTGGACTGTCCTATTGGCACACCTTTGGCAAGACGGTAATGGAGTGAGTGATGGTGAAGGTGTTAACTTCTTTCTTAGGTCACCCTGCCTGTGGGTTGTATAGAATGTCTTAACACAGGACATGCACACCGAGAGGTGTATGTCTGTGTGTATGTCTGCCGAGATTACTTTATTCCAAACTTTGTGGATTACAAGTATTCTTGTTAGTTGTCAATACGCTATGTGTAGCCTTAATGATCCTGGTGTAGTAGATAGGCTTTAAACCCCATTAACCAGCCTTGATCTGGTGTAGTAGATAGACTTTAAACCCCATTAACCAGCCTTAACCCTTTGAGGGTCCGTGCCTTAGATCTACGGCTTTACGTTGAGGGTCCAAACCGTAGATCTACGTCATGAGCTTGGCTCACTGTGATAAGCTGTGAGTGGTAAATTTTGGCCTAGATATGAGAGAATACATCTATGTGGTATGGGTGTACCACATAAAATAAATCCTGTGGCACATAGTGCATAATGAGAGAAAAAACTGAGACTGTAATTTTCGATTAAAACAGCGACTTTGCAATGTTTTTTCATATGTTTATTATAGTTGTATTTGCGATTTCTTGGTCTCATTTGATAGAATGGAAGATATATTACAGAAATAGAGATGATTTTGATTGGTTTTAATACTGGAAATAGCTTGAAACTGAGCTCAAAGTAGCGGAAATGTTAAATGTTTGCCGATATTCAAGAGTAAACAAATGACCTCACATGTCTAACACACGCCAGCTGGTGGGTCTAATATATGTTCACAAATGTGCTGATATTATTTATACAATTATTACAATATTGCATAACATTAAATCTTCTATTTTTTGGTTTAAATAAAAATTCATTGTGAATAAAAAATCGAAATGGAGTTCATTAGTAAAGCCTCAAAACATAACTAAGGAACAGAGGAAATGTTAGTTTAGTGCCAGGAATGTCTGCATTGTTTATTCTGGACCCTATTTTGAAATTGGAATATTTTGAACTTTGTGTGAAATTGGCTAAATTACCAATTTCCAGTCACTTTATTTTGTAGTTGAAACAGTTGACTTGGAGATTTCTTGTGCTCAATCGATAGAATATAAGTAATACTAGTGAAATAGTTAAGAATTTGATCGACTGGAATAAAGTAATTGGCCTAAAATGGGAGTCAAAGTCGGCAAAATTGCCAATGCGTAAATATTGCCGACATCAAAATTCACGAAAGCATAATTTCGTCAATTTTCCATCAAATTTCGTACTTTTTGTTTTATTACCTTCAGAAAAAGATTCTCTACCATTTCATAAGAAAAAATAACTAAATTATTTTTTGAAAATTCTTGGACACTGGTGCACACTTTGAAATTTGGCCTCTGGACCCTGAAAGAGTTAATGATCTGGTGTAGTAGATAGGTTTTAAACCCCATTAACCTGCCTTAATGATCTGGTGTAGTAGATAGGTTTTAAACCCCATTAACCAGCCTTAACCCTTTGACTGTCGAGGTCGTATATATGCGTCTTACGAGGTACCGTGTTTGACATATATATATGCTCATAAATTCTAGCGGCTTCAAAATAAGCAGGAGAAAGCTGGTAGGCCCACATGTGAGAGAATGGGTCTGTGTGGTCAGTGTGCACCATATAAAAAAAATCCTGGAGCACGCAGTGCATAATGAGAAAAAAAAACTCTGACCATTTTTTTTTTAATTAAAATGCCGACTTTGTGGTCTATTTTCGTATAGTATTTATGGTCGTATTCTCATTTTCTTGGTCTCATTTGATAGAATGGAAAACATATTATAGAAATAGAGGTGATTTTGATTGATTTTGCTATAAAAAGAACCTGGAAATGGAGCTCAAAGTACGGGAAATGTTTGATTTTTGCTGATGTTCAAAAGTAAACAAATGATGTCATTGTCCAATAAATGTCCAACTAGCCATTCTAATATGCAGTCATGAATGGGTTGATGTTATTTATACAATTATTACAATATTGCAGTAGTCTGCATAATAGTAAATCTTCTATTTCTTGTTTGAATAAAAATTCAAAATAGAAAGCAAGAATAATATCAGAGGAGCCTGGAGACATGACTGATGAACAGAGAAAATGTTATTTTAGAGCCAGGAATGTCTGCATTGTTCATTCTGGACCTTATTTTGAAATTGTCATATTTTTTAATTTTCGTGAAATTGGCCAAATTGCAAATTTCTGACCACGTTATTGGGTAGTTGAAATTGGTAAATGGGCAGTTTCTTGTACTCAATCGATAGAAAAAATGGAGTTCTAAAGAAATAGCTACGAGTTTGGTCGACTGGAACAACGGAATTAGCCGAAAATAGGGCTCAAAAGTGGGCGAAATATCGCCGAGGTCACTAACTTCGCGAGAGCGTAATTCCATCAGTTTTCCATCAAATTTCGTTTTTTTGGTGTCATTACAACCAGGAAAAGATTCTCTATCATTTCATAAGAAAAAATAATTTTTTTTTTTAAATTTTGCAACACCAGGAGACACTTCAGCATTGGGGGTTGCGACAGTCAAGGGGTTAATGATCTGGTGTAGTAGATAGGTTTTAAACCCCATTAACTAGCCTTAATAATGATCTGGTGTAGTAGATAGGCTTTAAACCCCATTAACCAGCCTTGATAATGATCTGGTGTAGTAGATAGGCTTTAAACCCCATTAACCAGCCTTAATGATATGGTGTAGTAGATAGGCTTTAAACCCCCATTAACCTAGCAACTTTTCATATAGTTTTATCCCCTAGGCTGGATCACCTCAGGAGTTCGTTAAGTTGACTTCAGGTGGCCTACGTTGTCACTTCCACTGGGGCGGAGACTGCGGCGCCACAGCGCTCTATGGCTGGCTGGTTGCGGCGCTGCATGTGGCCTTCCTGGTGCTGGTGGGCCGGGTCCTTGCTGCCTCCCACTCCATGATCTTCACGCTGGCCACCACGGCCATCGCCCTGCCCGTCCAAGCTCTGTGGTGGGCGCTGTTCACCATTGGTGGCCCTCTTGGCATGCAATGGCACCCTCAAGTTAGTTCAGCCTCTGATTTATAAAAGAATTAGTTGGCTCTCTTATTGGGTGTTCTGTGGCTTGGTTGGCAGCACACCTGCCTCATACAAAGAGTGTCCAAGGTTCAATCCCCAGCATGGGTGGAAACATTTTGGTATGTTACCTTACACCTGCTCTCACTGTTCACCTAGAAGTAAATAGGTACCTGGGTGTTAGTTGACTGGTGTGGGTGGCATCCTGGGGTGTGGTAGCATGCCTTAGATAGGTCTGTAAATGAGCCAAGGTAGAATAGCCAGTAAAGCCGATTAGTGTAAAACAAAATGTATAGCACGATTTTTTGTAAATACGAGTGAAAAAATCATTGACAGTTGAATAGTGAGTACCGTGAAGACCCTTCCGTGCGCTGTTCAGTTTTGGATCCATTTTTTAATTGCATATAAAGAAAAATAAAATTATTATATGGAGGAACTCTGTGAGAGAAGTGACTGTAGGAGATGTTGAGATGATTTGGCTATTTAGAAGTGACTGGAGGTGGTGTTGAGGTGATTTGGCTATTTAGAAGTGACTGGAGGTGGTGTTGAAGTGATTTGGCTGTTTAAAAGTGACTGTAGGAGGTGTTGAGATGATTTGGCTATTTAGAAGTGACTGTAGGAGGTGTTGAGGTGATTTGGCTATTTAGAAGTGACTGGAGGTGGTGTTGAGGTGATTTGGCTATTTAGAAGTGACTGGAGGTGGTGTTGAGGTGATTTGGCTATTTAGAAGTGACTGTAGGAGGTGTTGAGATGATTTGGCTATTTAGAAATGACTGTAGGAGGTGTTGAGGTGATTTGGCTATTTAGAAGTGACTGGAGGTGGTGTTGAGGTGATTTGCTTATTTAGAAATGACTGTAGAAAGTGTTCCTGACATGATTTGCTTATTTAGAAGTGACTGTAGAAAGTGTTCCTGACATGATTTGCTTATTTAGAAGTGACTGTAGAAAGTGTTCCTGACATGATTTGCTTATTTAGAAGTGACTGTAGGAAGTGTTCCTGACATGATTTGCTTATTTAGAAGTGACTGTAGGAAGTGTTTCTGACATGATTTGCTTATTTAGAAGTGACTGTAGGAAGTGTTCCTGACATGATTTGCTTATTTAGAAGTGACTGTAGGAAGTGTTTCTGACATGATTTGCTTATTTAGAAGTGACTGTAGGAAGTGTTTCTGACATGATTTGCTTATTTAGAAGTGACTGTAGGAAGTGTTCCTGACATGATTTGCTTATTTAGAAGTGACTGTAGGAAGTGTTTCTGACATGATTTGCTTATTTAGAAGTGACTGTAGGAAGTGTTTCTGACATGATTTGCTTATTTAGAAGTGACTGTAGGAAGTGTCCTGACATGATTTGCTTATTTAGAACTAACTGGAGGAATCTTTGTTGACATGATTTGAACATTTAGAAAGGATGGATCAGGATAGGTTGTCCAAGAGGGTGGATGGCAGGAGAGATGGGAGAATCATCCCAGGATGGGCTCGGAGAAGATGGGGTAAAGGTGGTTTTGTGAGTTAGTGGCTTGAACATCCTGCAGGCCCGGCAAGCATCTTGCATCACAGTGGCTGGAGATGAGATATTTTAGGAGCAAAGTAGCATGTGTTTTCATTGTTTTCCTCTCATTTTTCCTGTTTTCTCGCCATTTTTAATGTTTCACTCTTACAGAAACTTCTGTATATGTAATGTGATTTTGTGTGTGATTGAGAAATTGCATTCAAAATAGAATAGTGTGTAATATACATTAGGCTAGGCCTGTCAAAATCAAATGTATATTAATCTAGACCTGTCAAAATCAAATATACGTGAGGCTAGGCCTGTCAAAATCAAATATACATTAGGCTAGACCTGTCAAAATCAAATACACATTAGGCTAGACCTGTCAAAATCAAGGCCTAATGTATACATTTGATTTTGACAGGTCTTGCCTGAGGTATACATTTGATTTTGACAGGTCTAGCCTAATGTATACATTTGATTTTGACAGGTCTAGCCTAATGTATACATTTGATTTTGACAGGTCTAGCCTAATGTATACATTTGATTTTGACAGGTCTAGCCTAATGTATACATTTGATTTTGACAGGTCTAGCCTAATGTATACATTTGATTTTGACAGGCCTAGCCTAATGTATACATTTGATTTTGACAGGCCTAGCCTAATGTATACATTTGATTTTGACAGGTCTAGCCTGATGTATACATTTGATTTTGACAGGTCTAGCCTGATGTATACATTTGATTTTGACAGGTCTAGCCTGATGTATACATTTGATTTTGACAGGTCTAGCCTAATGTATACATTTGATTTTGACAGGTCTAGCCTAATGTATACATTTGATTTTGACAGGTCTAGCCTAATGTATACATTTGATTTTGACAGGTCTAGCCTAATGTATACATTTGATTTTGACAGGTCTAGCCTAATGTATACATTTGATTTTGACAGGTCTAGCCTAATGTATACATTTGATTTTGACAGGTCTAGCCTAATGTATACATTTGATTTTGACAGGTCTAGCCTAATGTATACATTTGATTTTGACAGGTCTAGCCTAATGTATACATTTGATTTTGACAGGTCTAGCCTAATGTATACATTTGATTTTGACAGGTCTAGCCTAATGTATACATTTGATTTTGACAGGTCTAGCCTAATGTATACATTTGATTTTGACAGGTCTAGCCTAATGTATACATTTGATTTTGACAGGTCTAGCCTAATGTATACATTTGATTTTGACAGGTCTAGCCTAATGTATACATTTGATTTTGACAGGTCTAGCCTAATGTATACATTTGATTTTGACAGGTCTAGCCTAATGTATACATTTGATTTTGACAGGTCTAGCCTAATGTATACATTTGATTTTGACAGGTCTAGCCTAATGTATACATTTGATTTTGACAGGTCTAGCCTAATGTATACATTTGATTTTGACAGGTCTAGCCTAATGTATACATTGATTTTGACAGGTCTAGCCTAATGTATACATTTGATTTTGACAGGTCTAGCCTAATGTATACATTTGATTTTGACAGGTCTAGCCTAATGTATACATTTGATTTTGACAGGTCTAGCCTAATGTATACATTTGATTTTGACAGGTCTAGCCTAATGTATACATTTGATTTTGACAGGTCTAGCCTAATGTATTACATTTGATTTTGACAGGTCTAGTCTAATGTATACATTTGATTTTGACAGGTCTAGCCTAATGTATACATTTGATTTTGACAGGCCTAGCCTAATGTATACATTTGATTTTGACAGGCCTAGCCTAATGTATACATTTGATTTTGACAGGCCTAGCCTGATGTATATTACATAAGAACATAAGAAAGGAGGAACACTGCAGGAGGCCTGCTGGCCCATACTAGGCAGGTCCTTTACAATTCATCCCACTAACAAAACATTTGCCCAACCCAATTTTCAATGCCACCCAAGAAATAAGCTCTGATGTGAAGGTCCCACTCAAATCCAACCCCTCCCACTCATGTACTTATCCAACCTAGATTTGAAACTACCCAAAGTCCTAGCCTCAATAACCCAACTAGGTAGACTGTTCCACTCATCAACTACCCTATTTCCAAACCAATACTTTCCTATGTCCTTTCTAAATCTAAACTTATCTAATTTAAATCCATTACTGTGGGTTCTTTCTTGGAGCGACATCCTCAAGACCTTATTAATATCCCCTTTATTAATACCTATCTTCCACTTATACACTTCGATCAGGTCTCCCTCATTCTTCGTCTAACAAGTGAATGAAAACTTAAGAGTCTTCAATCTTTCTTCATAAGGAAGATTTCTAATGCTATGTATTAATTTAGTCATTCTACGCTGAATGTTTTCTAACGAATCATGTCCATTTTGTAATACGGAGACCAGAACTGAGCTGCATAATCTAGGTGAGGCCTTACTAATGATGTATAAAGCTGCAGTATGACCTCTGGACTTCTGTTGCTTACACTTCTTGATATAAATCCCAGTAATCTATTTCCCTTTTATTACGTACGCTCGGGGCATTGCTGTCTTGGTTTAAGGTTGCTGCTCACCATAACCCCCAAGTCCTTTTCGCAATCTGTATGGCTAAGTTCTACATCATTTAACTTATAAGTACTAGGGTTATGGGCACTCCCAAGCTTCAGAACCTTGCATTTATCTACATTGAACTGCATCTGCCACTTTTCTGACCAAGAATAGTTTGTTTAAATCCTCCTGAAGTTCCATAACATCTACGTTTGAATCAATTATCCTACCTATCTTTGTGTCATCGGCGAATTTGCTCATATCACTAGTAATTCCCTCATCAAGATCATTGATATATATTATAAACAACGGGCCCAAGACTGATCCCTGTGGAACGCCACTTGTTACAGATCCCCACTCGGATTTAACCCCATTTATGGACACACTCTGCTTCCTGTCAGTGAGCCATGACTCGATCCACGAGAGCACTTTTCCCCCAATGCCATGAGCTGCCACTTTCTTTAACAGTCTATGGTGCGGAACTCTATCAAAAGCCTTATTAAAATCTAAGTAAATAATATCAAATTCTTTATTGTGGTCAACAGCCTCAAAAGCTTTACTGAAGAAAGTTAATAAATTAGTTAGACAAGACTGGCCTCTTGTGAATCCATGCTGAGTATCATTAATCAAGCTATGCTTATCGAGATGGCTTCTTATAATCTCAGCTATAATTGACTCTAGTAATTTGCCTACAATTGAGGTCAGGCTTATTGGACGGTAATTTGATGGTAACGACTTGTCCCCTGTTTTAAAAATAGGAGTTACATTAGCCATCTTCCACATATCAGACACTACACCTGTTTGAAGAGATAAATTAAAAATATTAGTTAATGGTTCACAGAGTTCCATTTTGCATTCCTTAAGAACCCTTGAAAAAACCTCATCAGGACCCGGCGACTTATTTTGCTTCAGTCTGTCTATCTGCTTTACAACCATCTCACTAGTGACTGTGATGTTACATAATTTATCTTCTTCTAGCCCACTGTAAAAATTAATTACTGGAATATTGTTAGTGTCTTCCTGTGTAAAAACTGAGAGAAAATAATTATTTAAAATCAAGCACATTTTATTCTCTTTGTCAGTAAGATGTCCATAGTTATTTTTAAGGGGACCTATCTTATCTCTAACTTTTGTTCTATAGACCTGGAAAAAACTTTTTGGGTTTTTGACCTTTTTGACCTATTTTTTCATATAGATGGCCTTTATTTAGCAGGATTTTCCTTTTTCCTGACCTGAAAGAACATTTAAATTACTTGTAATTTTCTTGGGTGTTTTACTTTCAAAGTTTATTCATCAGGAATCATTGAAAATGTGTCGGGCAGATATATTTGTTTAGTGGGTTTGAGAAGGACGTGCCTAGTATGGGCCAGTAGGCCTGCAGCAGTGTTCCTCGTTTCTTGTGCTGGACAGATACATGGGTGGGAATGGTTGCCTCTGAGAAGGACGTGCCTAGTATGGGCCAGTAGGCCTGTAGCAGTGTTCCTCCTTTCTTGTGTTGGACAGATACATGGGTGGGAATGGTTGCCTCTGAGAAGGATGTGCCTAGTATGGGCCAGTAGGCCTGTAGCGGTGTTCCTCCTTTCTTGTGTTGGACAGATACATGGGTGGGAATGGTTGCCTCTGAGAAGGACATGCCTAGTATGGGCCAGTAGGCCTGTAGCAGTGTTCTTCCTTTCTTGTGTTGGACAGATACATGGGTGGGAATGGTTGCCTCTGAGAAGGACGTGCCTAGTATGGGCCAGTAGGCCTGTAGCAGTGTTCCTCCTTTCTTGTGTTGGACAGATACATGGGTGGGAATGGTTGCCTCTGAGAAGGACATGCCTAGTATGGGCCAGTAGGCCTGTAGCAGTGTTCCTCCGTTCTTGTGTTCTAATGGTTTTTTTTTTTTTTTTTTTTTTTTTTTTTTCAGGTAACAGGAGAGTTGATATTTAGCCTCCTGGGTCTACCCATCATGATTGCCTGCCTTGCTTTCTGGAGCCACATTGATCGCCGCGACAAGCTCCGATCCAACAACTTTCCACTCACTTAGCACGGCAAGGAGCGCCATTGGATGGGAGCCACCGGCCAAACTTCCCAAAACAGTTCGATAAATTCATTCCAGAACTAGGGATCAGCTGGGGTAGGGGGGGTTCTAGGTGATACAGTGTAAGTAAATATCTCCATCTGGACGAACTGGTGCAGTTACCCCGGAATAATTCCACTCAGCATTAAAACTTCTGTACAGTGGACCCCCGCTTAACGATCACCTCCAAATGCGACCAATTATGTAAGTGTATTTATGTAAGTGCGTTTGTACGTGTATGTTTGGGGGTCTGAAATGGACTAATCTACTTCACAATATTCCTTATGGGAACAAATTCGGTCAGTACTGGCACCTGAACATACTACTGGAATGAAAAAAGTTCGTTAACCGGGGGTCCACTGTATACGGGTTGTCCTCGACTTCCGATGGTTCGATTTACGTTATTTCGACTTCACGACGGTGTAAAAGCAATTACCGTGGAGATGAAACTTAATTAACAATCATGAAGGTGACAAGTCCATAATTTATATTTATTTATTAACTTTATTTTACAGGTATTTAGTTACAGTAATTATTTATTTAATTATTCAGTGGCAGTTTATTTTTGTTTATCATATATTCGTATTCGACTTGCAGCGGGTTCACTGGAACACAACCCCTCTAAGTCCAGGACCACCCGTTTAGTGCAATTTTTTTAACCCGTAAACGGTCCAAACGTATATATACGTTTTTTCAACATTTGAAAGTATGTCAAAAAAGTAGATCTTCTTTTGTTTTTTACATTAGAAAATGTGTAAAAAAACTTTGATCCTTTTTTTTTTTTTTTTTTTTTTGTTATATTTGAAAATATGTAAAAAAAAAAAACGTAGATCTACTTTTGTATCACTACACATGTGAACGTAGATCTGCTTGGACCGTTTACGGGTTAAATGCTATTGAAAGTGCATCCCAAATTAAATAGTACATGGAAACGCCCTCATAATACCTCGGTAACACAGCTTCCTGACCGCCGCCATAAAACCAATATCTATTAAAGAAAATCACAGCCTTTTTTTTCACTTGCCATTCATAAAAAAGTCGACAACATGTTTACACTGTCATTTATTGTGTGAGCACTAGGCCTAAAAAAAAGATGCATAAATAAAGTTAATAAAAATTAATATTGCTGACAAGTATCTTAAGGGCAAGACAAGTGCCAAAAGTATCAAACATGAATATAATTGAAAGCTCAGTACAGTACGTCTTTAACTTTCGAACACGTTGGGGACCTGTATTGTGTATATCATCCATAATACAGGAAGTCTTCAACTTCTGAACATGTTGGGGACCTGTATTGTGTATATCATTCATAATACAGGAAGTCTTCAACTTCTGAACATGTTGGGGACCTGTATTGTGTATATCATTCATAATACAGGAAGTCTTCAACTTCTGAACACATTGGGGACCTGTATTGTGTATATCATTCATAATACAGGAAGTCTTCAACTTCTGAACATGTTGGGGACCTGTATTGTGTATATCATTCATAATACAGGAAGTCTTCAACTTCTGAACATGTTGGGGACCTGTATTGTGTATATCATTCTAATAAGATTCAACTTTGAACATGGACCGTATTGTGTAATCTTCATAATTACAGGAAGTCTTAATCGACATTGGGGACCTGTATTGTGTTATATCATTCATAATACAGGAAGTCTTCAACTTCTGAACATGTTGGGGACCTGTATTGTGTATATCATTCATAATACAGGAAGTCTTCAACTTCTGAACACATTGGGGACCTGTATTGTGTATATCATTCATAATACAGGAAGTCTTCAACTTCTGAACATGTTGGGGACCTGTATTGTTTATATCATTCATAATACAGGAAGTCTTCAACTTCTGAACATGTTGGGGACCTGTATTGTGTATATCATTCATAATACAGGAAGTCTTCAACTTCTGAACACGTTGGGGACCTGTATTGTATGTAATAATGACATAATAATAATATACACAATACAGAAGATTCTCGATGTATTTATAAGTAAAGGACTTTACTGTAGTAGTGAAGCGCTTTAAAGCGAGCATTGTATGTGCTGTCTTCACTGCATTTTTCATTGCTATTTGCAAGGAATTGAATGGTATAAACCTTGGTAATAAATACCAACAAGTTGGTTTTAAAAAACACCTAAGCAAACCCTAGGATATCCCTGTTAGAAAACAATTTGGTCCTGGGACCTTGATAGCTTCTGGTAATGGAGGTCCAGGGACCGAATCGTTTTCTAATAAATATGTCCTAATGTTTGCTTACGTATTTTTCTAAACCAAGGAATTGAATACCATAGAGGAGCTCTATAAGAGAGCTTACCATAGTTAAATAGACCAAACATGTTATGGGCATTATACCCTGCTTATTCTAGCGCTTACCACGTTTGGCGAGTGTTGGCCAATCGTCTGTCTCGGTGCACATGTCAAATCTTAGTTTATTGAATGTTGTAATTTTTTTTTTTTTTTAATTTTAATTTCAAGCAAAATTAAAAGAAATTATCTCTGAATTCTGTGAATTCAATCTATTTTTTTTTTATCAGCAATAATTGGTAGAAGCTGCAAAATGTCTGCAGTTTGTATGTGTGTGTGTGTGTATGTGTATATATACTGTGTGTCTATATATATATATGTATATATATACAGTAGAATCCACGTTTCTTCTGATTCGGTATCCACGGTTTCAGTTATCCATGATTGACTGTGGCCCAAAAATAACCCTTAGTTTTTCTTAACCCTTTACTTAATAATGACACCAAAGTGCAATAGTAGTGACGGTGGCAGTTCTTCAGAGCCAAAGAGAAGCTGTGAAGTGTTTCCCATCAGTGAAAAAGTGACAGTTATCCTCTTATTGTGCATAATTTATGATTTAAACTTTTGTCATAGATATGTATGTAAACAGAAAATGATTTATACATAGGGTTCACTTCTGTCTAAAGTTTTGGGTATCCATCATAGGTCTTGGAACATATTTAACAATAAAAGGCACAATACCGTGACTGGAACGATACACAAATAACCCGCACATAGAAGAGAGGAGCTTACAACGACGTTTCGGTCCGACTTGGACCATTTACAAAGTCACACTGTGACTTTGTAAATGGTCCAAGTAGGACCGAAACGTCGTCGTAAGCTCCTCTCTTCTATGTGCGGGTTATTTGTGTATTGGAACATATTCCCTGCGGACATGAGGTTGGGGGGACTACTGTATGTGCAGTAATCACGAAAGAGATACAAGATGTAAAACGCTCGCAAGAGAAGTTGGATGATAGCTCTAGGCCTTTCTTATTACAATCAACATATCAGGAGCATGCAGTGTTGCAGAAATGAGTAGGAAGTCCAGGTAGATTCATTCATGGGAAGGGTTCTAGCTTGAGTTAGAATTGTGCCCATGAACAATGTTGTTGTGTCTGACATATTTGATGTAAATTAAAATTAGACACATGTACAACATCTGGGTATTTTTTTGGTAGACATTTCACCAGCCAGTTGCTTTTTTTTTTTTTTCAACAAACCGGCCATATCCCACCAAGGCAGGGTGGCCCAAAAAGAAAAACAAAAGTTTCTCTTTTCAAATTTAGTAAACCAGTTGCTTTATCAACACAAATTCAAGGCCAAAATGGGAAGACAGCAGAACTGTATACGTACATGTATGAAAGATGAGGTAATGGTTTAGAAGTGTACAGCATATGTGCAGAGAAGTGGCTTGTATGCTGCAGATAGTTTAAGTAGCAGCAATCACTTGTAGCTGACTGTTGTGGGTTGCATCTTGGGAAACAGGATCAAAGGTTCCCAGTGGGAAAAAGCCATACTCGTTTTCCTGGATTATCATGGGTTACTAACCCAGAGAGTTTGTAACCCAGAAATGCCACTCTCCTTCAGTGTTCATTTTTCTTGTCCTTAGACTTACGAGCCTGGTCCATGGCCAGGCTCCGAGAGTAGTAAGACTCTCCAAACTCATCAAAGGTACTCCACTTTTACCACAACTACCACTCAATTACTAGTACTACTAGTATTACTACTACTACTTCTAGTACTACTACTGATACTACTACAAGTACCACTACTACTACTGCTACTAGTACTACTAGTGCTACTACTACCACTACTACTAACACAACCACCTCCCTTCACGTCCCCTTCTGTCTCTTGTGCCACTAAAATTATTCTCCAGCTCCCTTCCCTAGTGGATAAACCCACTAGTGTAAATAGGTCATGACTGTCTTCACAAATATTGCACAAGTGTCTAATTTTTTATGTTAATTTTTGTCTTGACTCCCATATAACCTGATGCTTATGGTTTTGTATACGGTTTATGTGTGTGTATCAGTGCTCTTGTATACCAAGAAATAGATTAACAAGTCCGAATACGTGGTTTATGGCATTTTATTCTCAGATCCATAAACCTTGTGTTTTAATGTCATGGTTTGTGTGTTCTTATGAAGTGTATAAGTGGAGCTAATTGAATAAATATTAATGGATAAATTTCATCTATTTCTCTTCCCCCAATATTTTGAAGTTTAGTGATGGCAGATTTTGATTTAGTAATTATCAGCCTCTGTTGAGGTTAATATTTTGAATAAAAATGTCTAACAGCATTGATTGGAGGCTTGATCCACCATCTGTGTGTGTTACACAAATAACCCGCACATAGAAGAGAAGAGCTTACGACGACGTTTCAATCCGACTTGGACCATTTACAAAGTGACTTTGTAAATGGTCCAAGTCGGACCGAAACGTCGTCGTAAGCTCCTCTCTTCTATGTGCGGGTTATTTGTGTATCGTTCCAGTCACGTATTGTGCCTTTTTTTGTTATTTGTGTGTGTGTGTGTGTGTGTGTGTGTGTGTGTGTGTGTGTGTGTGTGTGTGTGTGTGTGTGTGTGTGTGTGTGTGTGTCATTCAACACATGGAGTGGTGGAGGCTTGATCCACCCTCCATGTATGTGTCATTCAACACTACAAGATAAGTTGAAAATGGCAAGTGTAATGCCCATCTACAAAGGAGACAGGTCCTTAGCCTCAAACTATAGACCCATTAACCTAACCTCCATTTTGGGAAAATTGATGGAATCAATACCTGCATTCTGTTTGAAGTCCCCTTGGAAGACAAATTGATTAATGAATCTCAGCACAGCTTTACAAAGCATTCCTGCATTACGAATTTACTCATTTTCACTAAGGTATTTGTGAACAGTATTTAGATAAAGGTAGGGAAGTTTTTATTGCATTTATGGATTTAGAAAAGGCATATGATAGAGTGGATAGAGGAGCAATGTGGCAGATGTTGCAAGTATATGGAATAGGTGGTAAGTTACTAAATGCTGTAAAGAGCTTTTATGAGGATAGTGAGGCTCAGGTTAGGGTGTGTAGAAGAGAGGGAGAATACTTCCCGGTAAAAGTAGGTCTTAGACAGGGATGTGTAATGTCACCATGGTTGTTTAATATATTTATAGATGGGGTTGTAAAAGAAGTAAATGCTAGGGTGTTCGGGAGAGGGGTGGGATTAAATTATGGGGAATCAAATTCAAAATGGGAATTGACACAGTTACTTTTTGCTGATGATACTGTGCTTATGGGAGATTCTAAAGAAAAATTGCAAAGGTTAGTGGATGAGTTTGAGATGTGTGTAAAGGTAGAAAGTTGAAAGTGAACATAGAAAAGAGTAAGGTGATGAGGGTATCAAATGATTTAGATAAAGAAAAATTGGATATCAAATTGGGGAGGAGGAGTATGGAAGAAGTGAATGTTTTCAGATACTTGGGAGTTGACGTGTCGGCGGATGGATTTATGAAGGATGAGGTTAATCATAGAATTGATGAGGGGAAAAAAGGTGAGTGGTGCGTTGAGGTATATGTGGAGTCAAAAAACGTTATCTATGGAGGCAAAGAGGGAATGTATGAAAGTATAGTAGTACCAAACACTCTTATATGGATGTGAAGCTTGGGTGGTAATGCAGCAGCAAGGAGACGGTTGGAGGCAGTGGAGATGTCCTGTCTAAGGGCAATGTGTGGTGTAAATATTATGCAGAAAATTCGGAGTGTGGAAATTAGGAGAAGGTGTGGTTAATAAAAGCATTAGTCAGAGGCAGAAGAGGGGGTTGTTGAGGTGGTTTGGTCATTTAGAGAGAATGGATCAAAGTAGAATGACATGGAAAGCATATAAATCTATAGGGAAGGAAAGAGGGGTAGGGTCGTCCTCGAAAGGGTTGGAAAGAGGGGGTAAAGGAGGTTTTGTGGGTGAGGGGCTTGGACTTCCAGCAAGCATGCATGAGCGTGTTAGATAGGAGTGAATGGAGACGAATGATACTTGGGACCTGACGATCTGTTGGAGTGTGAGCAGGGTAATATTTAGTGAAGGGATTCAGGGAAACCGGTTATTTTCATATAGTCGGACTTGAGTCCTGGAAATGGGAAGTACAATGCCTACACTTTAAAGGAGGGGTTTGGGATATTGGCAGTTTGGAGGGATATGTTGTGTATCTCTATACGTATATGCTTCTAAACGGTTGTATTCTGAGCACCTCTGCAAAAGCAAAGCAGTGATAATGTGTGAGTGTGGTGAAAGTGTTGAATGATGATGAAAGTATTTTCTTTTTGGGGATTTTCTTTCTTTTTTTTTGGGTCACCCTGCCTCGGTGGGAGACGACCGACTTGTTGAAAAAAAAAAAAAAAAAAAAAAATTGAGGTAGATCATGGATAGTGTATTTGGACTTCAGTAAAGCTTTTGATAGGGTTCCACATCGGAGATTTAGGAAAATACACGGAATAAGAGAATTTTATCCTGGATAGAGGTGTGGCTGACAGGCAACAGTGTTTTGATTAAATGGAGAGAAATCACAATGGGGAAGCATCACAAGCATTGTTCCACAGGGGTCATCCCTCAAGGGAGATTCCTTGACACTGGTGAGTGGCTCTTGATCTAAGGAACTGGATTTGCTCCAGTTCCCTGAATTGAGTGTAAATACCTTCCATCCCCCCACTACAGGCATTGTATAATTCCTATGGATTAAGCGTTCCCCCACGATTATAATGTACAGGGGTCAGTGTTCGGCCCTTTGTTGTTCACAGTTTACATAAATGACATATAAGGGAATAAATAGTGATGTAGCAAGTTACCAATGACACCAAAATAGGCCGTCGAATTAATTCTGACAAGGACAGTGTAGAGCTGCAGGAAGTTCTGAATAGACTGATGCAGTGGTCAGAGAAGTGACAGTTTGAGTTGAATATGGACAAATTCAAAGTTATAAGCCTTGGAAAACAAAATAACCATGACACTCATAAACTAAATATGTAATGTTGCTCTCACTTTGAATGTGTAAAAGATTTAGGAGTTTTGGTCAGCAGTAATCTAAAACCAAGACAACAGTGTGTAACTGGTCATACTGCAGCTTTAAGAGGTCATACTGCAGCTTTATACATCATTAGTAAGGCCTCACCTAGATTATGCAGCTCAGTTCTGGTCTCCGTATTACAAAATGGACATAAATTCGTTAGAAAACATTCAGCGTAGGATGACTAAATTAATACATAGCATTAGAAATCTTCCTTATGAAGAAAGATTGAAGACTCTTAAGTTACATTCACTTGTTAGACGAAGAATGAGGGGAGACCTGATCGAAGTGTATAAGTGGAAGATAGGTATTAATAAAGGGGATATTAATAAGGTCTTGAGGATGTCTCTCCAAGAGAGAACCCGCAGTAATGGATTTAAATTAGATAAGTTTAGATTTAGAAAGGACATAGGAAAGTATTGGTTTGGAAATAGGGTAGTTGATGAGTGGAACAGTCTACCTAGTTGGGTTATTGAGGCTAGGACTTTGGGTAGTTTCAAATCTAGGTTGGATAAGTACATGAGTGGGAGGGGTTGGATTTGAGTGGGACTTTCACATCAGAGCTTATTTCTTGGGTGGCATTGAAAATTGGGTTGGGCAAATGTTTTGTTAGTGGGATGAAATGTAAAGGACCTGCCTAGTATGGGCCAGCAGGCCTCCTGCAGTGTTCCTCCTTTATGTTCTTATGTTCTTATGTAACTGTTCGCAATAAAACAAACAAAATTCTTGGCTTCATATCAAGAAGTATAACTAACAGGAGTCCTCAGGTTGTTCTTCAACTCTATATGTCGTTGGTTAGGCTTTACTTAGATTATGCTGCACAGTTCTGGTTACCATATTACAGAACGGATATAAATGTGCATGACAACGTACAGAGGAGGATGACAAAGATGATCCCATGTATCAGAAATCTTCCCTATGAGGACAGACTGAGGCCCTGAATCTGCACTCTTTAGAAAGGCGTAGAATTAGGGATGATATGATTGAAGTGTAAAAATGGAAAACAGGAATAAATAAAGGGGATGTAAATGACTATCTAAAAGTATCTAACCAAGACAGGACTTGCAGCAATAGGTTCAAGCTGAAAAAAAAAAAAATGGATTTAGAAAGGATATAGGAAAGCACTGGTTTGGTAATAGATTTGTGGATAAGTGGAACAAACTCCCGAGTACCGTCATAGAAGCTAAAACCTTGTGTAGCTTTAAAAATAGCTTAATCAATCAATTTTTATTTCCTTGCAAGATTACATTGTGATTATGAAATTACAAAAACGAGTTGCAGTGCAAAGAACAACTATCATAATACTCAAGAAATTGAACATTGTTTAAGTTGAGTGGGTGTGAGTTGGACCTACCTAGCATGGGCCAGTAGACCTGTTCAGTGCACCTTATGCTCTTATTCAACACAAGGAGTGTTGCAAGGAGTCCCAAATCTACACACGAAAATCACTCCCTATGAAAGCAAAAGACTCGGAGGGAGATGCAACATTCCCCAGTGAAAAGACAACACAATAAGTGTCAGGGGCCCAAGACTGTTCAACTGCCTCCCAGCATACATAAGAAGGATAAAAAATAGACTCCTGGCTGTCTTCAAGACCCCTGGTTGTCTTCAAGACTCCTGGCTGTCTTCAAGGCCCCTGGGTGTCTTCAAGACCCCTGACTGTCAAGACCCCTGGTTTTCTTCAAGACCCCTGGCTGTCTTCAAGACCCCTGATTGTCTTCAAGACTCCTGGTTGTCTTCAAAACCCCTGATTGTCTTCAAAACCCCTGGTTGTCTTCAAGACCCCTGATTGTCTTCAAGACTCCTGGCTGTCTTCAAGACCCCTGGTTGTCTTCAAGACTCCTGGCTGTCTTCAAGACCCCTGGTTGTCTTCAAGACTCCTGGCTGTCTTCAAGGCCCCTGGGTGTCTTCAAGACCCCTGATTGTCTTCAAGACTCCTGGTTGTCTTCAAGACCCCTGATTGTCTTCAAGACCCCTGATTGTCTTCAAGACTCCTGGCTGTCTTCAAGACTCCTGGTTGTCTTCAAGACTCCTGGCTGTCTTCAAGACCCCTGGTTGTCTTCAAGACTCCTGGCTGTCTTCAAGGCCCCTGGGTGTCTTCAAGACCCCTGACTGTCAAGACCCCTGGTTTTCTTCAAGACCCATGGCTGTCTTCAAGACCCCTGATTGTCTTCAAGACTCCTGGTTGTCTTCAAAACCCCTGGTTGTCTTCAAGACCCCTGCCTTCAAGACCCCTTGGTGTCAAGACCCTGGGCTGTCTTCAAGACCCATGGCTGTCTTCAAAACCCCTGGCTGCCTTCCAGACCCTGGGTTGTCTTCAGGACCCCTGGCAGTCTTCAAGACCCCTGGTTGTCTTCAAGACCCCTGACTGTCTTCAAGACCCTGGTTGTCTTCAAGATCCCTTGCTGTCTTCAAGACCCCTGGCTGTCTTCAAGACCCCTAGCTGTCTTCAAGACTCCTGGGTGTCTTCAAGACCCCTGGCTGTCTTCAAGACCCCTGGCTGTCTTCAAGACCCCTGATTGTCTTCAAGACCCCTGGCTGTCTTCAAGACACCTAGCTGTCTTCAAGACTTCTGGGTGTCTTTAAGACCCCTGATTGTCTTCAAGACTCCTGGTTGTCTTCAAAACCCCTGGTTGTCTTCAAGACCCCTGCCTTTAAAACCCCTGGTTGTCTTCAAGACACCCCTGACTGTCTTCAAGACCCCTGACTGTCTTCAAGGCCCCTGGTTGTCTTCAAGACCCCTGACTGTCTTCAAGACCCCTGACTGTCTTCAAGACCCCTGGTTGTCTTCAAGACCCCTGGTTGTCTTCAAGACCCCTGACTGTCTTCAAGACCCCTGGTTGTCTTCAAGACCCCTGACTGTCTTCAAGACCCCTGACTGTCTTCAAGACCCCTGGTTGTCTTCAAGACCCCTGACTGTCTAAAAGACCCCTGGTTGTCTTCAAGACCCCTGACTGTCTTCAAGACCCCTGGTTGTCTTCAAGACCCCTGACTGTCTTCAAGACCCCTGACTGTCTTCAAGACCCCTGGTTGTCTTCAAGACACCTGACTGTCTTCAAGACCCCTGACTGTCTTCAAGACCCCTGGTTGTCTTCAAGACCCCTAGTTGTCTTCAAGATCCCTGTCTTCAAGACCCTGACTGTCTTCAAGACCCCTGACTGTCTTCAAGACCCCTGGTTGTCTTCAAGACCCCTGACTGTCTTCAAGACCCCTGGTTGTCTTCAAGACCCCTGTCTTCAAGACCCCTGACTGTCTTCAAGACCCCTGGTTGTCTTCAAGACCCCTGTCTTCAAGACCCTTGACTGTCTTCAAGACCCCTGGTTGTCTTTAAGACCCCTGACTGTCTTCAAGACCCCTGACTGTCATCAAGACCCCTGACTGTCTTCAAGACCCCTGACTGTCTTCAAGACCCCTGACTGTCTTCAAGACCCACCTGATGCACCACCAGACCTGGTCACTGACCGGACCACGGGGGGCCATTGACCCCCTCAACCCCCTCCAGATATATCATCAACACAAGAAATGTTGCAGACCTGATCCACACACAGCTTTAAGAAGAGGTACAATAAGACCCCTGGAAGCCATAATCTAACCCATGAAAAGCGAGGCCAGGAGCTAGGACTCAACTGTGAACGTATACGTACCGTACCTGTCCAGTATGTGTCCGATCTCCACACTAGAAATTTAACAGCAAAATGTTAAATTATACCAGAAATAGCTTTATATAGTGTAAAAACACATTATCATCAGCATTATCGTAATATTCTCCAACCCCCTGAGCGTTTAGCGCTTCCCTGTCGGTATAATACCAGAGTAAAAATAGAATAATATTAATAATGCTGGATGTCAGTGGCAATAATTACCCGAGTGTATATAAGGGTGAGACGCGGCTGTGTTAAGGCCAGTGTGGTCACGACCTTCAGAGGGGGAGGACGTGCGCTGCTGCTGCTGCTTGTCTGTCTTATCCTAACCTAACTGTAAGTTAATTTATATATGTGTGTCACAGGGGGGAAGGGGGAGTGTGTTATCAGGGTTAAAAAAGGGGGATCTAAGGGGTAAAGGGGCGAGAATTGCAAGAAAATACTCAACTTCAAGCGTTGAAAATTATCAATATGGCGACGTTGTCTTAATAATAATTATTTTATTAATTTAATATGAAATAAACTTTAATATATCATAAATAATGATTTTAAACCTTTATTTACTCTATGTACATTATATATATATATATATATATATATATATATATTATATATAATATATATATAATATATATATTTTTTTTTTTTTTTTTTTTTTTTTTTTTCAACAAGTCGGCCGTCTCCCACCGAGGCAGGGTGACCCAAAAAAGAAAGAAAATCCCCAAAAAGAAAAATACTTTCATCATCATTCAACACTTTCACCCACACTCGCACATTATCACTGTTTTTGCAGAGGTGACCAGAATACAACAGTTTAGAAGCATATACGTATAAAGATACACAACATATCCCTCCAAACTGCCAATATCCCAAACCCCTCCTTTAAAGTGCAGGCATTGTACTTCCCATTTCCAGGACTCAAGTCCGACTATATGAAAATAACCGGTTTCCCTGAATCCCTTCACTAAATATTACCCTGCTCACACTCCAACAGATCGTCAGGTCCCAAGTACCATTCGTCTCCATTCACTCCTATCTAACACGCTCATGCACGCTTGCTGGAAGTCCAAGCCCCTTACCCACAAAACCTCCTTTACCCCCTCTCTCCAACCCTTTCGAGGACGACCCCTACCCCTCTTTCCTTCCCCTATAGATTTATATGCTTTCCATGTCATTCTACTTTGATCCATTCTCTCTAAATGACCAAACCACCTCAACAACCCCTCTTCTGCCCTCTGACTAATACTTTTATTAACTCCACACCTTCTCCTAATTTCCACACTCCGAATTTTCTGCATAATATTTACACCACACATTGCCCTTAAACAGGAGATCTCCACTGCCTCCAACCGTCTCCTCGCTGCTGCATTTACCACCCAAGCTTCACATCCATATAAGAGTGTTGGTACTACTATACTTTCATACATTCCCTTCTTTGCCTCCATAGATAACGTTTTTTGACTCCACATATACCTCAACGCACCACTCACCTTTTTTCCCTCATCAATTCTATGATTAACCTCATCCTTCATAAATCCATCCGCCGACACGTCAACTCCCAAGTATCTGAAAACATTCACTTCTTCCATACTCCTCCTCCCCAATTTGATATCCAATTTTTCTTTATCTAAATCATTTGACACCCTCATCACCTTACTCTTTTCTATGTTCACTTTCAACTTTCTACCTTTACACACATTCCCAAACTCATCCACTAACCTTTGCAATTTTTCTTTAGAATCTCCCATAAGCACAGTATCATCAGCAAAAAGTAACTGTGTCAATTCCCATTTTGAATTTGATTCCCCATAATTTAATCCCACCCCTCTCCCAAACACCCTAGCATTTACTTCCTTAACAACCCCATCTATAAATATATTAAACAACCATGGTGACATTACACATCCCTGTCTAAGACCTACTTTTACCGGGAAATAGTCTCCCTCTCTTCTACACACCCTAACCTGAGCCTCACTATCTTCATAAAAACTCTTTACAGCATTTAATAACTTACCACCTATTCCATATACTTGCAACATCTGCCACATTGCTCCTCTATCCACTCTATCATATGCCTTTTCTAAATCCATAAATGCAATAAAAACTTCCCTACCTTTATCTAAATACTGTTCACATATATGCTTCAATGTAAACACTTGATCTACACATCCCCTACCCACTCTAAAACCTCCTTGCTCATCCGCAATCCTACATTCTGTCTTACCTCTAATTCTTTCAATTATAACCCTACCGTACACTTTTCCTGGTATACTCAGTAAGCTTATTCCTCTATAATTTTTACAGTCTCTTTTGTCCCCTTTCCCTTTATATAAAGGGACTATACATGCTCTCCGCCAATCCCTAGGTACCTTCCCCTCTTTCATACATTTATTGAACAAAAGTACCAACCACTCCAACACTATATCCCCCCCTGCTTTTAACATTTCTGTCATGATCCCATCAGTACCAGCTGCTTTAACCCCCTTTCATTTTACGTAATGCCTCACGTACCTCCCCCACACTTACATTCTGCTCTTCTTCACTCCTAAAAGATGGTATACCTCCCTGACCAGTGCATGAAATTACTGCCTCTGTTTCTTCCTTAACATTTAAAAGTTCCTCAAAATATTCTCGCCATCTACCTAATACCTCCATCTCCCCATCTACTAACTCCCCTACTCTGTTTTTAACTGACAAATCCATATTTTCCCTTGGCTTTCTTAACTTGTTTAACTCACTCCAAAATTTTTTCTTATTTTCATTAAAATTTCTTGACAGTGCCTCTCCCACTCTATCATCTGCTCTCCTTTTGCACTCTCTCACCACTCTCTTTACCTTTCTTTTACTCTCCATATATTCTGCTCTTCTTATAACACTTCTGCTTTGTAAAAACCTCTCATAAGCTACCTTTTTCTCTTTTATCACACCCTTTACTTCATCATTCCACCAATCACTCCTCTTTCCTCCTGCACCCACCCTCCTATAACCACAAACTTCTGCCCCACATTCTAATACTGCATTTTTAAAACTATTCCAACCCTCTTCAACCCCCCCCCATTACTCATCTTTGCACTAGCCCACCTTTCTGCCAATAGACGCTTATATCTCACCCGAACTTCCTCCTCCCTTAGTTTATACACTTTCACCTCCCTCTTACTTGTTGTTGCCACCTTCCTCTTTTCCCATCTACCTCTTACTCTAACTGTAGCTACAACTAAATAATGATCTGATATATCAGTTGCCCCTCTATAAACATGTACATCCTGGAGCCTACCCATCAACCTTTTATCCACCAATACATAATCTAATAAACTACTTTCATTACGTGCTACATCATACCTTGTATATTTATTTATCCTCTTTTTCATAAAATATGTATTACTTATTACCAAATTTCTTTCTACACATAGCTCAATTAAAGGCTCCCCATTTACATTTACCCCTGGCACCCCAAATTTGCCTACTACTCCCTCCATAACATTTTTACCCACTTTAGCATTGAAATCCCCAACCACCATTACTCTCACACTTGATTCAAAACTCCCCACGCATTCACTCAACATTTCCCAAAATCTCTCTCTCTCCTCTACACTTCTCTCTTCTCCAGGTGCATACACGCTTATTATAACCCACTTTTCACATCCAATCTTTATTTTACTCCACATAATCCTTGAATTAATACATTTATAGTCCCTCTTTTCCTGCCATAGCTTATCCTTCAACATTATTGCTACTCCTTCTTTAGCTCTAACTGTATTTGAAACCCCTGACCTAATCCCATTTATTCCTCTCCACTGAAACTCTCCCACCCCCTTCAGCTTTGTTTCACTTAAAGCCAGGACATCCAGCTTCTTCTCATTCATAACATCCACAATCATCTCTTTCTTATCATCTGCACAACATCCACGCACATTCAGACTTCCCACTTTGACAATTTTCTTCTTCTTATTCTTTTTAGTAATCTTTACAGGAAAAGGGGTTACTAGCCCATTGTTCCCGGCATTTTAGTTGACTTTTACAACACGCATGGCTTACGGAGGAAAGATTCTTATTCCACTTCCTGCAGGGGGTCAGCGCCCCCGTGGCCCGGTCTGTGACCAGGCTTCGTGGTGGATCAACCAGGCTTTTATGTATGAAGCACAGCCTGGTTGATCAGATACTGAGTTTGTCTGTCCACTGACTGCTTCAAGACAACCAGGAGTCTTGAAGACAACCAGGGGTCTTGAAGACAGCCAGGGGTCTTGAAGACAGCCAGGGGTCTTGAAGACAGCCAGGGGTCTTGAAGACAGCCAGGGGTCTTGAAGACAGCCAGGGGTCTTGAAGACAACCAGGGGTCTTGAAGACATCCAGGGGTCTTGAAGACAACCAGGGGTCTTGAAGACAACCAGGGGTCTTGAAGACAGCCAGGGGTCTTGAAGACAGCCAGGGGTCTTGAAGACAACCAGGGGTCTTGAAGACAGCCAGGGGTCTTGAAGACAGCCAGGGGTCTTGAAGACAGCCAGGGGTCTTGAAGACAACCAGGGGTCTTGAAGACAGCCAGGGGTCTTGAAGACAACCAGGGGTCTTGAAGACAACCAGGGGTCTTTGAAGACAGCCAGGGGTCTTGAAGACAGCCAGGGGTCTTGAAGACAACCAGGGGTCTTGAAGACAGCCAGGGGTCTTGAAGACAGCCAGGGGTCTTGAAGACAGCCAGGGGTCTTGAAGACAACCAGGGGTCTTGAAGACAGCCAGGGTCTTGAAGACAACCAGGAGTCTTGAAGACAACCAGGGGTCTTGAAGACAGCCAGGGGTTCTTGAAGACAGCCAGGGGTCTTGAAGACAACCAGGGGTCTTGAAGACAGCCAGGGGTCTTGAAGACAACCAGGGGTCTTGAAGACAGCCAGGGGTCTTGAAGACAGCCAGGGGTCTTGAAGACAACCAGGGGTCTTGAAGACAGCCAGGGGTCTTGAAGACAACCAGGGGTCTTGAAGACAGCCAGGGGTCTTGAAGACAGCCAGGGGTCTTGAAGACAACCAGGGGTCTTGAAGACAGCCAGGGGTCTTGAAGACAACCAGGGGTCTTGAAGACAGCCAGGGGTCTTGAAGACAGCCAGGGGTCTTGAAGACAACCAGGGGTCTTGAAGACAGCCAGGGGTCTTGAAGACAGCCAGGGGTCTTGAAGACAACCAGGGTTTTGAAGACAGCCAGGGGTCTTGAAGACAGCCAGGGGTCTTGAAGACAACCAGGGGTCTTGAAGACAGCCAGGGTCTTGAAGACAACCAGGGGTCTTGAAGACAGCCAGGGGTCTTGAAGACAACCAGGGTCTTGAAGACTACCAGGGATCTTGAAGACAACCAG